ATACTAAGGTAAAATTCATAACATACTTCATAACCTAGATCAACTTCTCAAGAACTAGCATGATAGGACTTATAATCCATACTAGTCTATTCATGATTGATACAACAACATCATAGGATAGATTCTTTTTTAACTCTTCTTAAGAGAAAGATGATCAAACAATTCCCAATAATTTTCCTTGCGGATCGGATCATCAATAATTCAATGAATAACAAATTCAATTGAACCAACATTACATAATTCATATCAAGATCACAATCTAGGGTTAATAGGTCATCTTCTAAAGACTAAACCAATCCACCAACAACAAACATAATTGGTTATAATACATGTTATTCTATTCATAATATCCATAAGAAATCATAAACAATGAATTCACAAGATCAATTTTGAGATTGGAAAAGACCCATATGAAAACTCAACTTTTGAAATCAAATTGATGGAACCCTTTGAGGAAAGAGGTCTAAAAGGTGAAAGGAATATCATACCTTACTAATTGATTAAGATTGATGGAGAAAATACACAATTTTTATCCCTTAAACCCACCTATAGCTTGGTCTTCAATGGACTTCTTCACTAGAGAGAGAAAGAAGAGAGAAGGAAGAGAGTTTGGGTTTGGGAAATTATGAAAGCTTTGGTTAGTCTAATTAGCTTAGAGGATTTATATAGGTTTTTAAATAACTTAATTAGATCTCACTTAACTCCTAATTAACCTCCTAACTTATAAAACTAATTAAATTACTAAATTAAAACGTGCACCAAAACCAGCCCTCACAAACGACACCACGATCGACAGATCGCGTGTCCATCGACGGTCATTGTGCACCTCCATGATGCACATCCGTCAATGAGTTCAGAGACTATGCAAAATGACCCTTTGGATAAATTCACTAATTTTCCATCAAAGGTGGCCATCGATGCCCCTCTATTGGACTACACCTCGTCAGTGCCCTTCGTCTATGGACATTGTTTCTGGTCAGCATTTTTCCACCTTTTGCAAGGTTCCTCCTTAAGGGCCCTCAGTTTGTCTTTGGGGAGTTTAGCCCGGAATTTTTGATTACTAACTAACTCTAATACATGTTAGACACTTTTCCACCAATTTTCATCATTTTCCGACTCTTAAAAGCTAGTCAAATAGGCTAAGGCATGCTAGTACCTCTTTGAACTAGTTTTCGGACGTCATGGACGTTCTTTGGCGTTTTGGTTTGTAGACTTCCTAAATTACCTATATTCACTAAAATAGACGTTAAAGTAGTGTCTAAACCTCTTGACACTTATTTTAGGATCTAGACTACCATCCCAACCAACAACAATACATAACAACATCAATCATACCGTTTGTACAAGGCAAATAAAAACTTCTATCACCACTCATAAGGCACAACATCACATTACGAGGAATATCCTTCTCACAACAACACATGAGCTCAACATAGCATATGTGAGTCAATTATGCCAAATATTAACTAATCAACATGCTATATATCATTTCATGAACACTCATCATATCAAAATGCACAAGATGACTCACAACAAGAAAAATTGTAAGCTTTCTAATTAATGACACCAAAAATGTACATTTTACAAAACTTCACCAAAAATCAAGTAACTTAAGTTTTTAGTCATTATTTTCATTATTAATAGGAATAACTAACCTAAGTTATCAAATAGATGAGGATAGCAGGACTTCATGTTGGCCTCGTCCTCCCATGTCGCCCCCTCAACTAGGTGGTTCTTCCATAACACCTTTACGGAATATACCTCTTTGTTCCTTAACTTCGTCACTTGTCTATCAAGGATTTGAAACACAACCTCCTCATAGGAGAGGTTATCCTTCAAACCAAGACCCTCAATAGGAAGAATAGACTCGGTATCACCGATACACTTCTTAGGCATAGAAACATGGAAAACTTGATGAACCGAAGCTAATTCACTAGGGAGTTTCAAATCATAGACAACCTTACCAACCCTTTACAAGATTTCATAAGGACCCACATAACTAGGACTTAACTTCCCTTTCTTGCAAAATGTAACCACCCTTTTCATAGGCAAGATTTTCAAATACACGTTATCACCTTCTTCAAACTCTAAATTTCTTATCCTATGATCGGCATAAGACTTTTGCTGACTATAGGATGTTTGTAAGTGATTCTTTATCATATGATCTTTCTCCAAAGTCTTATAAATAAACGAGAGCCAAAAGTGAAGACTCACCCCCTTTAAACCATCCAATTAGAGATCTACATCTCCTACCTTACAAGGCTTCATAAGAAGCCATAGATATAGATGAATGGTAACTTTTGTTGTAAGCGAACTCCACCAAAGTCAAATGCTTATCCCAATTTCCCTTGAAATCAATGATACAAGATCTAAGCATATCCTCGAAGGTTTGAATAGTACACTCTGCTTGACCATCCTTTTGGGGATTAAAAGAGATGCTTAACTTTACCTTGGTACCCAACCCTTCTTGGAATGACCTCTAAAATCTAGATGTGAATTGTGCACTCTCTCATATGATGGATAAAGGATTACCATGGCGACACACAATCTCATCTATGAAGATCCTTGTATAATCGTCCGCCGAATAAGTAGACTTGATGAGAATGAACTAGCGAATTCGATCAACCTATCCACAACCACCCATATAGAGTCATATTACTTATGTGTCCGAAAAAAACCTATCACAAAATCTATATTGATGTCTTCCCACTCCAAAGTAGGAACTTAGATTTATTGTATTAAACCACCCGGATTTTGGTTTTCGGCTTTCATTTGTTGTCAATTTTGACACTCTGCAATAAATTCTGATATGTCTATCTACATTGGGAACACACAACTTTCATTGATACCTCAAGACACCAATCCCCACTAAGGAGAATGACTCATTAAGCTTGCCAAGAACTGATTTCTTCAACTCTATCAATGGTTAGTCAAGGCGTTGTTTAGACTTCACGTGAACCACCAAAGATGAATGAGAGTTATGTTTGCACCATAAAACCACCATTCGAAGAATCTTCCAAAATAACACCCAATCTAGCCAACCTATGAACATCGTTCACTAGGTCTTTCTTGGATTCCTCTACATGGAACACACTTCCCATGGTCATATGACTTCGAGCATCCACAACCAATTGGCCTTGCTGGGGTGATAGAGAACACTTATTTTGTAACTTTTCAACAATTCCAACCATCTTTTTTGTCAGTAATTTAACTCTTTTGAGTAAACAAATATTTAAGACTCTTGTGGTCGATATATACATCAACATGAATACCATACAAGTAATGCCTCCATATTTTCAAGGCAAGTACCATGGTCGTTAACTCAAGATCATGAGTTAGATAGTTCCTCTCATGCGCTTTAAGTTGCCTAGAAGCATATGCTATCACTTTCCCATGTTGCATAAGCACACACCCTAAACCCACTCTGGATGCATCATAATATGCTACTAAGCCCTTTGTACGCTTGGGTAAAGTTAAGACCAGATCATAGGTAAGCCTATCTTTCAAGGTTTTGAAGCTTCTCTCAGATGCCTCCGATCGCTCAAATTTCATACTCTTTTGAGTCAAAGTAGTCAACGGGGATACAATGGACGCAAAACCATCCACAAACCTCCGATAATAACCTACTACACCAAAGAAACTCCTAATGTCTGTTGGAGTATATGGTCTAGGCAAATTTTTCACCGCCTCCATTTTCCTCGGATCAACCTCAATTCTTCACTATAGATGATATGACCAAGAAACGCCACCGACTTAAACCAAAACTCACATTTACTATATTTGCAAATAATTGGTTCTCCTTAAGTATTTGTAACACCACCCTAAAATGATCCTTGTGTCACCCTCATTTTTCGAGTATACCAAGATGTCATCAATGAAGACAATTACAAATGAATCTAGGTAACTTCGAATCACCCTATTCACGAGATTCGTAAATGCCGCTGAGGCATTAGTGAGACCATAGGACATTACTAAGAACTCATAGTGACCATATCTAGTCCAGAAATATCCTTATTTGGTATATCCTCACCTCTCACCCTAAGTTGGTGATACCCCGATCTCAAGTCAATCTTAGAAAAGTAGATTGCCCCTTTGAGTTGATCAAACAAGTCATCAATCTGAGGGAGAGGATACTTCTTCTTAATAGTGACTTTATTGAGTTGGCGATTATCAATACATACTAAGCGAACTATCCTTATTCTTCATAAACAATACCAGAGTGCCCCATGGAGAAATATTAGGTATAATGAAACCTTTGTTGACTAAATCTTTGAGTTGTGTCTTCAACTCTTTCAATTCGTCCGGAGCCATCCGATAAAAAAGAATTGAAATGGGATTTATATCTTGTTACAATTCGATACAAAAATCAATTTCCAGCTTGGGAGGAATACCAGGAAGATCATTAGGAAAGACCTTGGGAAATTCCCTCACTATAGGGACAGACTCAATGGGAGGAATTTTGGAGTCAAAATCTTGGACTCTTACTATATGGTATAAAAACCCTTTAGAAATCATTTTACAAGATTAAGACAAGAGATGATACGACCTCTAGGAACAGAATTTCCCCCCTTCCACTCTAAAATGGGCTCATTTGGAAAGTTAAAGTTTACCACCCTTGTTCTACAATCTATAGAAGCAAAGCAAGCATGCAACAAAATCCATACCCAAAATGACATCGAAATCAAGCTTATCAAGTTCTACTAGTTCAACATAAGTAACTCTATTGGGCAACATTATAGGATAATTTCTGTATACCCTTTTTGCAACAACTGAATCACCCACTAGGGTAGACACTATAAAGTGTTCATGCAAGATATTGGGAAAAATGTCAAACTTTTTAGATACAACGTAGCACCGGGATCAAGTAAGACATATACATCAATAGAAAAGAGTTTCAACATACTGGTCACCACATCGGGGGAAGTCTCCTGCTCACCCCTATAGCGGAGAGAATAAAAGCGATTCTTCATAAGAGCATCATTAGAACCACTTGCTTGAGATTAACCAATACCCTTGTCTTGAACCCTCACATTAGGGAAATCCCTAACCTTGTAGCCACTATTTCCACAACCAAAACAAATGCCCATTCCAAATAAGTATTCACCTAAATAACCCTTTCCACACTGGGCACAAGTAGGCTTCGTGTTCGGGTAACTAGTATCCTTTCCCTTCTTAAGATTAGGGTTGGATACCCTATCATCACGAGCCTTAGGGATAATTGAAGGAACTTGATTTGAAAACCTTTTTTGAACCTAGGCTTGTCTTAGATATCAAGCCTATTCTTTGACGAACCACCATCAAAAGACCTCGCCTTCTTAGTATCTCTACCTTTCTCTTAGCCCTTGCCTCTTCCACTTTTTGAACATGAACATAAGACGAGAAATGATCATATTGTAATGTAGCATACCCGAATGATATTTTCTTGCAAGTCATCCGACACTTCCATCACAAAGCGGTTTATTTCATCTCTGGGGTCGAAAGCCAAAAAAGGAGCATAATTTGTCAATTGAGTGAATTTCAAGGAGTATTCAATCACACTCACATCTCCTTGATGAAGGTTTATGAACTCCACCACCTTGGCTTCCCGCTTATCCCTAAGAAAGAATCTATCAAGAAAACCCTTCTTCAAAACCTCCCAAGTCACCAGTCCACCCCATAACTTGTCCCTCCATTGGACATACCAAGTTTGGGCCACACCTTTGAGTTGGTAAGTGGCTAACTCAACCTTGTATCTAGAAGTCAATCCCATAGCATAGAGGATCTTGTAGGTTTGATCAATGAACTCATGGGGGTATTCTTTAACATTGGACCCATAGAAAGTAGGGGGATTTATTCTAGTGAAATCCACTTAGATGGGAGTCCATGGTAGCAACTTGTTAATTTGCTCGGGGTACAACCTCCAGATTAGCTTGGGCCGTCATGGCTTTATCTTGGGCAGTGGTTTATTGTGCTTGGGTATTAATGGCTTGGGAAATTTGGAAAAAAAAGGATCAGCCCGGATGGCACCATCTTCCAAAGGATGATCGACCAGAGAATTGTCATAATTAGCATTTTCTTCAAGATTAGGAACTTGATCACCAACGGGAGGAACTCCCGCATTGGAAATATCTTCTTCAAGACTTTGTTCATCATTCCTTCGAGTGTTCATTTCCTATAATCATGATGACATGATTAGACGCAAAAGAACATAGAGCTAAACTCTAGGGCCACGATATTGTACTTCCAAGAAATAAGAGTTAAGCATTATATAGGTTGCTATCCATAAGTGTGGCGTGCTTCACAATTATGAATGTGTATCTATATAGACGTGGTTAAGAGAGACATCGACTTAAAGATATTCAATCTCATGCTGAGATACCAAGATTGTCATATCCGGGGAGCACCCCCTAGACATATTCGGCGGCGGCATCCTCCTTTAGGACTAAGAATAGCCTCTTAGCTTACATAATTACATTCATAGGCAAAAATTAGCGAAAATTAAAAAAAATGCATTACTTCTTCATTAAGGTTTACATAGACCTCTATATACACATAATATGCATATTGAGTATACATAGACCCTTCGTATTTGAAGATACTTAGTCTTCTACTTTTATTAAACATGGATATATAGACTATAACATAGTCTCAAATGGATATCTCATCTCATAAACATCTAACAAGAGTATATCAAATTGGTCCTACCCTATACATCAAATGTAATAAAGACACATATACGCTATACAAGGTTTAGTACTCGAATGAAAAGGAAAAAATATAAGAGCCTTAAAACTAAAACAACTTCATAGCTTTATCTTGGCATTGGCGTCGGAGAGTGAGGACTTATCCAACTTTGATGAATAAGAATTCCAAGACATCCTTCAATGACGTCTCGAAACCCTTCAATGATCGGAACCTAAATATTGGGGAAAAGGGAGAAGATGGGGTTAGTACACTACTTGTACTAACTATGAGACCATATGCACAAATAACATCCAATCATGCTAAAAGGAGACTTTTCATGAAACCATCCTAATTACTTTGAAAACCTTGTGTACATTCCAAAACAACATATCTATTAATAAAACATATCCATTAAGTCATAAACATGTACATAATAAGGCCAACAATACTAAATCTAGTAAAGTCTACATGCATATATTATAATTAGAAACATATTCAAAGCAACTCAATCATCAAGACATAACAACAATAAGTATGAATAAGAGTTCATTACAACATAACCAAAGCAAGCTAATTACCCATCAACCCTCATTAAGTCACCAAGTGCAATGAACAAGCAAAGCATCATGACCTTACTCAATCAAGTAAACTCAACAAAGAACCATGACCAATATCCAACTTCACATAGCATATCATTCAAGAGTACGTAACATCATCATAATTTAGACATAAATACCAAACACATAAGTATACGTGGATTCAATATCATAAGAAACCATCAATTTGAAAGATCATCATATACATATAATGTACCATTTTAAGCATATTTATACATAAGAACAACATTCTAAAGCTTCCTCGCAGGCCAACTAGAGCAAGGGATAGGTAGACTTCCCTACCCCTACCAAGGCTAAGTCAAACTTCTTAAGTCACCTTAGGTAGTTTTTACTTTATTACTTCATTTTAGTTTAGGAATTATTTGCCTTAACCGACATAGACAAAAGAGCTAACTGTGGAATCCTCTATTGTAAAACCTTACACTGATTGAAGGTTGTTTATCGGCCAAAGTAAAACCAAACATAAACGTAGCTTTCTTGGTGGATCCACTAGCTAGTCTTCCCATGGGGACAACATAGTTCAAGAACTAAGAGATAGGTATGATCTCTCTATATGCCACTGTTATTAGAGCCTCATCTCACGAGAATCCATTGGGTGAGTATCCCTCATTGGGGATTCAACACCTCATGTGGAACTATAGGGTGAGTCTTCCTCTATGGAAAGTCATCACCTCCCATTATTAAGTTCATTTGGTGCTAAGCTAAGACCTTTTAAGATGTCTTTATTAATCATCATAGCTTATTATAGGTCATAGGATCTATCCCTTATATAATCATCATCATCATAGGTCAATAAGAATTGCATGAGTAAATTAATTTCATTAAAATTCATATAAGTGAGGTTAGCAAATTTACATATCACTTCATAATAAGGCACATTGGTAAATCATCACCATCCTTATAACATTTACATATTAGCAAACAACTCACAAACCATAGTGAAGACATTTTAATTAAACATCATACCAACCCTATCAATCTTAATACAAGATATACTTCAATTCATTTTTATCACTTAATCATAATTTACGACAATTGAAGTAAGGAATAGGAATTTCAAGACTTACCAAGTCTCCTTCATAATCCATCATCAAGGTCTTACCATCAACCCTTAAATCTAACCCATAAGGGTATAACATCATTATAAATCAATAAAAAACATGACAACAAAGACAATTGAATCGCTACATCACAATCCACAGCTAGTTCATAGCTTAAGATGAGATACTTAGGTCAAATTTATAATATACTTCATATCCTAGATCAACTTCTCAAGAACTAGAATGATAGGACTTATAATTCATCCTAATTTATTCATGATTGATACAAAAACATCATAGGATTGTAAGTCAACCAATAACCAATTCAATTGAACAACCATTACACAATTCAAATAAAGATCACAATCTAGGGTTAAGGGGAATATGTCATACTCTACACACTAGACCAATCCATCAAGAACCAACATAATTGAGTTATAATACATGTTATCCATAAGAAATCATAATCAATGTAATTCTCAAGTTCAATTTCGATATTTGAAAAGAACCACATGAAAACTCAACTTTTGAAATTAATTTGATTGAACCCTTTGAGGAAAGAGTTCTCAAAGGTCAAAGGAATTACATTCCTTACTAATTGATGAAGATTGATGGATAAATTAGATAATTTTAGCCCTTGAACCCACCCCTATATTGGTATTTAATGGAGTTCTTTAATAGAGAGAGAAAGAAGAGAGAAGGAAGAGAGTTTAGGTTTGACAAATTATGAGAGCTTAGGTTTGTCTAATTAGCTTAGAGGCTTTAAATAGGTTGTTAACTAACTTAATTAGGCCTCCCTTAACCCCTAATTAACATTCTAACATAGACGACTAATTAAATGACTTAAATTAAAGCGTGTATCAAAATCAATCCTCAAACACAACACCATGATCAACGGATCGTGTGCCCATCTATAGTCACTATGCACCTCTGTGCTGCACATCCGTGATGCACATCCGTAGATGAGTTCAGAGACTATACAAAATGACCCTTTGTCCAAATTTAATAAGTGTCCATCAACGGTGGTCATCTATGCCCCATCGATGGGACCACGCCTCGTCAGTGGCCTCTGTATGTGGACATTGTCTCTTGACAGCATTTTGCCATCTTTTGCAAGGGTATCCGCAAGGGTCCTTAGTTTGTCTTTGGGGAGTCATGCCAGGACGTTTCATCATTTTTAGACTCTTAAAATCTAGTCAAATAGGCTAAGCACTCTAGTACCTCTTTGAACTAGTTTTCGAACGTCATGGATGTTCTTTGACGTTTTGGTTTCTGGACTTCCTAAATTAGTTATGTTGATTAATATAGACCTTCAAACATTTTCTAAACCTCTTGGAACTTATATTAGGCTCTAAAACACATCTTATATTTTTGAAGTTTTACATGTCCCATGCACGAGATGTCGATTGAGCTCATCAATTTACACTGCCAAGACAGTGTCTCCACAGCCTTTAGGTCCTCCTTAAGGGCTTCTTGCGAGGCCCTTGTGAGTCATACCCGAACTTTTCCAATGTATATGTACAACTTATTCAATAATAACATCATCATAAAGTCATCCAAACATTTCAACTTCTATAGTTCACATCATGAAAGCATACAAGACCCTTACCTAAATCCCAATCCAAGCGAACTAGTGTAATGCTCATGTGAAGTTCCATAACCCACCTAAACCAAGTAAACTAGTAACAGACCATAAGCAATGCCTATACTTCGTATAACATAATATCATGTGTAGTCATCATTTTACATAGAAATTTAGACCAATACTATGTCCATCAAATGAATCCAAAATTATATAAGAGCAACATTATATAGAACCAACATTAGGCATTTCATTCATAACATAAGTGAATAAGAACTCCTCCTAGGAATTCCCTCAAGGGAAACTTGTGCAATGCATAGGTAAAGTACCATATCGTTACCTACACTAAGTAGTACCCCTTAAGTCATCGTAGTTAGTGTCAATCTTTATTACTGCATTAATTCATTTACTTTCGAGAACATTAGTCATAACTGACAATAGACCATGTGAGGTAAACATGGAATCTGGTGTCATGAAACCCTACACCGAAAGAAAGTGCTCTACATGCCAAGGTAGAACCATACATGAATATCGCATTCTAGGTGAATCCACTAGCTAGTCTTCCTATAGGGGCACGAGATTTGCTAGAAACTTTTTTATGCATATTGCGTTGTAGTCTCCATCTCATGTCTCTCATCCAGTTTTACCCCCAAGACGTAACCGGCGTTGGTGTCCTTTTGAAGGACTAAGACTGGCCTCTTAGTTTCATGTCATTACATTCATAGGTTGAAAAATGCTGAAAAATTTATAAACTTGCATTATATCTACCAGGAGGTTTACATAGACCTCTACATACACATAATATATATTCATATCGAGTACTCATAGACCCTTCAAATAGGAAGGTTACATAGCCTTCTACTTTTTAATTGCAAATATATATATATATATAAATATAGAAATAGTCTCAACAAATGTCTTGTCTCATACCATCTAAACAGATATCACAATATGGGAATAGACCTTACATCAATTCAACAAGACCATGTATAGGTCATACAAAAGTACAATATTCAAATAACAAGGAAAGAAATGATAGAGTTAATAAGCTCATAACAAAATCCAAAGCTAGAAGATGGCATTGCCCCCGAAAGTTAAGGACCTACCCCAGTTGGACGAAAGAAAGAATCCAAGACTTCAACAATATAACCTTTCAAACTCTTCAACGACCGGAATCTAATATGTTTGGGAAAAGGGAAGAAAACGGGGCTAGTACTCCACATGTGTGTGTGTGTGTATGTGATTTTATAAATATTTATATTTTGAACAATTTATAAAATTGCATGTGCTATGAAATAATATAAAACAAGAGAAGAATAATGTCGGGAGAAAAGAGAAGTCTTTTTATTTAGTTGATGTATATTCAAAATTCATAAATCTTCTTTACAATGAAGGATAACCTCTTTATAAGGGAAGCCTAACTTTGTCCCCAAGTAGGATTTCTAATAATATGCATTATGGATGCCTCATTAAAAACCTTACAAAGAAAATGCAATAGGACAAAACTTTATGAGGACAAAAAGAGTACAACACGTATCAACTCCCCCTAATGACTGAAAAAATTGAAATCTGCAACTGAAGCTAAAACATCTAATTTGGGAGAGAAGGAAGATGTGAAATGTAAACTGATTTCATTGATTTAAAAAAGATATTTGTACAATGCTTCATGTGCATATTTATAATGCTACAACTTAACTCACAGCCTATCATAATCGTACACCTGTAAATAACATAATTCAGTTATAACTAAAACCAACTAACTACTAAGCTAAAACTATTAACTATAAGCTAACAAAGTAGTAACAGAATCAAGTTACACGACTATCGTCAATACTTTTCCTTAAACTAGGTGTGTTGAACACATTCAGAACACCAAGTTTGGATAAAAGTGATTCATGTTGCATTCTACCCAAAGCTTTGGTTAAAATGTCTGCTTGTTGGTGTTGTGTGGGGATGTACATAGTGCTAATCAAACATTGTTGAATCTTCTCCCTAATAAAGTGGCAATCGATCTCTATGTGTTTTGTCCTCTCATGAAAAATAGGATTTGTTGCAATTTGAAGTGCTGCCTTACTATTACTGAACACAGACACTTCTTCCTCAATCTGAATATTTAATTCTTTGAACAAATTAGTTAGCCAAACAATTTTTGCAGTAAAACAAGCCAAACTTCTATATGCTGCTTCAGCAGAACTTCTTGAGATTATAGCCTGTTTCTTTGATTTCCAAGAGATAAGAGAGTCTCCCAACTTCAGTAGATAACCTGTCACTGATCTTATGGTATTAGGGCATGCTGCCCAATCTGCATCACAAAAATAAGTCAGTTGCATCTTCTTCTGTGAGGACATAAGTAACTCTAATCCTGATTGAGTCTTGATATATCTGAGAACTCTAAGAGCAGCATGCCAGTGCTGAGGTTTTGGTTTCTGTAGGAATTGACTAAGAGTTCGGACTGTGTGAGCTATGTCAGGTCTGGTGATGGTTAAGTACAATAACTTGCCAATCATTCTTTGATATTGAGTAGCATCCGGATGCAACTCCTCCTCACTACAATCATCCGTAAAAGCTATAGTGAGTTTCATAATACATTCCAATGGGGTATTTGCTGCCTTGACTCCAGTAATGCCTGCTTAAACTAAGAGATTTTAGGCATATTTACTTTGGTTCATTAGGATACCTTTTTCGGATCTGTTGAATTCTATGCCAATGAAGTATTTCAACTCTCCTAAATCCTTGATCTTGAACCACTTATGCAGGATGGATTTGGTTTCCTGAATCAGTGCAACATCATTCCCAGTAATAAAAAGGTCATCAACATAGCCCAAAATAATAATTAACTTGGCTCCTTGCTTCTTAGTGAATTGTTAGTAATCGAAATGACTCTTGAATTTATCCATATTTCAATAAGGCCTCAGTGACTTTAAAATTCCATTATCTTGAAGCTTGTTTGATCCCATAAAGATATTTCACAAGCTTACAGACCATAGGTGGTTAATCAGTGGCAACTTTTAGACCTTGAGGTAATTCCATGTATACATCTTCTGTGAGATATCCTTGCAAGAAGGCATTGTAGACATCCATTTGGTATGTACACCAATTCTCTGTAGCAATCAATGCAATAATATTCCTTACTGTCACCGTCTTTACCACTGGAGAAAAGGTTTCTTGGTAGTCTATACCAGCAGTCTGACTATACCCTTTTGCTACTAATATAACTTTGTACCTTTCTATTTCACCATTTGCCTTATGTTTGATTTTGAATATCAACTTACAACTAATTACAGGCTTCCCATGTGGCCAAGGAACAAGATTCCAAGTGTCATTTTCATCAAGAGCTTTTAATTCATGCTGCATTGCTTCTATCCACTTCTTATCATGTAAGGTTTCTTCATAAGAATTAGTTTCACTAACAGCTGAAAATTTACTTAAACAAGCTCTATATGTGAGAAATATGCTTATATGAAACACAGTTGGACAATGAGTGAGTTATCTGCTTCCCAGAAGTGATATAGTCTTGATGCCAGGCTGGTGTAATCACAGTTCTACTAGATCTCCTAGGGATATTAGTGGTTAGTTTACTCTCAGGAACCAACACCATCATTTATAGTATCATTCAAAGTTGTGGACATCTCAGAATCTTCAGGTAAATGATCAATAACAGTCTCCGCAGGTACATGAGCAATAACAACAGTCTCTGCAGGAACTTCATCTTGTTCTGGTTCTAATGAGTAAAAGATGTCTGGAAATAGATGAATTGTATCATCATGATGTTCCTTAAAAGGAAAGATATTCTCCTTAAACACCACATCTATACTAACCATGAACTTCTTGTGAGAAATATTATAAAGAAGATACCCCTGTTGGGTCTAAGAATAACCCATCATTACACAAGCAACAACTCTGGGAGGAAATTTGTCTTTCTTAATTAGTGTGGTAGCATAACATAGACATCCAACAGTCCTTAAATGATACAACTTAGGCTTCCTTTGATAGAAGACTCCATGAAAAGATTTACCTTCCAATGTATGAGTAGGTAACCTGTTGATTAAGTAAACAACTGTTACAACAAATTCTTCCTAAAACCTGATAGGCCAACCACCCTGAAACAGAATACTCCTTGTTACTTCCAACACATGCCTATGCTTTCTTTCTACCAATCCATTTTCTTGTGGAGTGTGTGGACAAGAGCATTGGTGAACTATGCCTAAAGAAGCAAATAAGTCTTTGCATTCAATGTTAAAAAACTTACACCCATTATCTGATCTAACATTCTTCACATAGTGATAAAATTGAGTTTTAACCATTTGGATAAAAGACTTCAAAACAGTAACAACATAAAATTTCACTCGAAGAAAATACAACCATGTTATTCTAGAATAGTCATCAACAATAGTGAGAAAATACTTGAAACCAACATGGGAGCTGATTTTATGTGGACCCCATACATCAATATGTATAGATTCAAATACAGAACTACTTCTAGTTGTAGACATAGGAAATGGTAAACTTGTTTTCTTAGATAATGGACATACAACACGATCATTGACAAGTCTATCATTGATGGAAATTAGTTTCTTAAAGGTAGTAGAGGATGGGTGTCCAAGTCTATTGTGCCATAACATGCCTTCATCTTCATTGGTCTTTATATGCATCAACTTTGCACTAGATATATTCATATTGCTTCCATCTCCAACCTCTTTATTCAACAGAAAATATAAACCTCCTGTCTCCTTAGCAATCCCCTTAACCTTCCCAGTTAGCAGCTGCTGAAATACACAAAACTCAGGGAAAAATCTTACTGAGGAGTGTAAATGCCTGGTTAACTGAGAAACTGAAATTAGATTATGCTTGAACTAAGGGACCACTAAAATATTATCCAACACATCACCACTATCCCATCTATAACTACCAGTGTGTGTTATTGGTGCAATACCTCCATCAGGCAATTGTACATGGTTCTGATCACTTTATTCTAATGAAACTATGTCAAACAATTAATCTATTGATGTTGTTATATGCTTTGTTGCACCAGAGTCTACTACCCAATGTTTAAGTCTATTATTAATAGAGAATGAGTGATACATACTTTCTTGATTGACTGCTGAGATCACAGAATTCTCCTTGTTCAATAACTGGAGAATTTGACCATATTGTTCTTGTGTAAATGTAGGAAGAGTTTGGCCAAGTGAATCATTATCAACAGCATTGACATTTGCTTATCCTGTTAGCAGCATTTTCACACTTCTTCCTGAATTTGTAGTCTGGTGGGTGTCCAACAACACAATAACATGTTTCCATGGTGTGGCCCTTTATTTTGCAAACCTACACTGCAGATTGTAGTCCCTTTTTGGATTGTAGAGTCTTGATTGTTGGTGATCTCTACCAGCATATAAGGCAGTAGAAGTAGAGGCACCTGCATCTCCTCGTTAATAAGAACCACCACTAGTGTTTGAAGTAACACTTGTATCTTCTTCTAAATAAGAGCCTCCAGCAGTGTACTGTCTTTTATCTTTCCCAACATACAAAGCATTAGAAATCCCTAAATCTCCTCCTAAATATGAACCTGTTGTTACTCACTGACTCTCATATGAAAAGATCATCGAATATGCTTTGTTCACAAAGGGAAATGGAATTATAATAAGGATCTGACTACGTGCTTGAGTGTATGACTCAATGAGTTCCATCAGAAATGCAGACAATTTCATATATTGCAAGTGACTTGCATACACTATGGATTTATCACATCCACACGAAGGAGGTGCTACAAGGGCATCCACTTCATCCCAATGAAGTCTTAGTCGTGTGAAAGATGCAGAAATAGAGGAAGTACCTTGTGTGATAGTGCAAATATTTCAATGCAACTAGTAACCTCTCGATCTATCAACCTTATCGAACGTCTCTTTTAAGTCAGCCCATACAGTAGCCGCATCATTGGTGTACATGATTCCACTCATCAATTACTTCGAAATCGATTTAGAATCCATGATAAAACAAATGCATTGCACTTTTCACACTGTTCTACTAATGTCGCACTGTAATCACTCTTTTTACAGGTACCAAAGACAAATCCAGATTTGCTTTTAGCTTGAAGAGTAAGGATCATTGATCGTCTCCATAATGATTGATTCTCCAATGAACTGAAGTCAATATTGAACCTGAAGTGTCAGATTACAGAAGATACAGAGGATGATTTTGATTTTTCTCAACTACTTCGATCGTATCAGTGCTCACCACCATTTCCCCCAAATTTTAGATCACAAATAAAAAATAGAGAATTTCATGAAGCAGATCAACAACAATGATAAGTGAATCAACTGTGGATTCGCTGTTCTGATACCATGACAAATTAAAATCTGCAATTGAACCTAAAAGATCTAATTTGTGAGAGAAGGAAGATGTGAAATGTAAGTTGATTTCATTGATTGAAAAAAGATATATGTACAATGCACCATCTGCATATTTATAATGCTACAACTTAACTCACAGCCTATCACAATTGTACACCTGTCAATAGCAGAATTCAGTTATAACTAACACCAACTAACTGCTAAGCTAAAACTATTAAACTATAAGCTAAACTATAAGCTAAAAAACCAGTAACAAAATCAAGTTACACCACTACCGTCAATAATGACAACATCAATTCAGATATTAGAATCTTCATTTTCCAAACTTGTGCACCATCTTCTTGAAAGTTGTAGTTGGCAGAGACTTTGTGGGTAAATCAACTATATTGTTACTTGAAAAAACGTGTTGCATGTTGATATCTCCATTTTTGGGAGCTCATGAGTGTATAAAAGTTTTGACGAAATATGTTTCCTTCTATCTCTTCATATGAATCTTCACTTCAGGATCAAATATTTCTGCAAGTTCCTTACTTCAACTTCTTTAAGAAAATAATTTATTGACTTTTGAAAACTCTTTAAGATTTTCAATTCAAGTCATCAACTTGCATAAAAATACAAAATATTATCGATTGTTTGAATCTATATATGAGTATTATAAACAGGTTTTTCAAAAACTTGTACATGTTTTAGATATTGAACCCATTTGATTTTCATATTCATTTTGTCAAGTGACAACATTCAATATTAGATGTAAAACATTTTCTAGTGCCTAGATTGCAAGTCAAATAAGCTTTACACTTATCAAGATGCACCATTCCACTTTTCACTTGATAATTATTTCTACACCGATATACTTTAGTAGATGTAGAATTCATATCCTCATAATTTTTTACAATATTACGCGCTATTGTATCAAAAATATCATCCACGATATATCATTTTTTATCTATTCACAGTATGAAATAACTTATTAAGATTTCATCACTTCATTATTTTTAGGAAGTTACCCCTCTCAGGAAGTTTCATAAAGTGATATGTCATAGGCTCACCAAGAGCACATTGTCTCCTTATTATGATATTTTAATTCTTTGATCCTCCCTTTTTTATTAAGGATTATTTTATTTAGAATTGATTAGTGTATCATGCTTCATGCATATCGTAGACTCTATCCTTAAGGGACATTTAATAGGAGTATTTACAATTCTTGTGTTGGTTTTAATATCCCCTCTTATGTTAGACAAACTAACATATATCGCAATCTTTTGGAGAATCTATCTTTGTGCATCATTATATATTCATTGATTATATACTACATATCAAAATAATCAGATGAAAAATATTTGGTCCCTTACCATAAATCAATTGAAAGAAGATTTGATCATAATTTATTGGTCTAATGCGTACAATTACTTTTGTATGTATTTTCATATTTCAAATCAACAATGAAGCTTCATTTTCATAAGCAATGATTTCATTAATTGAGACATTCAATGTCACAACATCTTGATATTTATCAATATTATCAAGATGAATTATCTTAATTTCATATTCTGAAAGTTGTGCTTTTAACTCAATTATCATGTACAAACAATTTTGGAAATGCCAAACTACAGGTTGACAAAACACACACATGTGATTATCCTATAGATATATCACTTTATCATATCACATGATAGGTGAACATACTCATATTCACCTTTAATAGTTTTCGAAATTTAGGAATTTAGTTTCAACTTTAGTTGATCGAATCAACTTATCACTAGAACAAGAAACATAAATAATTCTTAAATAATCTTCCAGTTCTTCAATGTATGCCTTACTCAGTATGCACATCTTTGAGATGACCAAATTATTCATGCCAACTAGTAATATTATAAGTACTTGTTAACTCCAAGTTAACGATGTCATGTCTCTTTTGCTTTAGTAAATTTCAAATTTATTACTATTATATGAGCAAATTTCAACTTTACTACTCCTAGAGTAAATTTCAGTTTTTTATTTTTTCCCTCAATTACTCTGCCTCTTCTAAAAGGTGAGTCGTGACCCCATCACTAAATAGACTAATCTGATTATCAGAAAAGTGATCAGTAATCATAATATTTGTGTCAATATTTTCGCAAACATCAAGTTGCGAGATAACAATATGCACACATGAGAGCATCTAGAAGAAACATCTATTAGGACCATTAAGTATCTAAATAATCCAGTTGGTGGATGAATAGGTCCACAAATATCTGGATACGTTCCTAGAAAAAAGGGGATTCGATCTCAATTTTCGTTTATGATGGTCTCACAATTAATTTGCCTTGCTAACAAGCAGACCATTCAAAAAAAATTTAGGTTCTTCCATGGGTGTCCATTTTAATTTTTCATAATTTGCTTAAACATTATAGACTAATGATGTCCGAGACAATCATGTCAAATTAAGAAAGCATTGGAATTTGTATAGATTGTGCCTCAATTACATTAATTATTATCCAATAAAAGTCAAAAGATAAAATATGAAACTTTTGTTTAACATATGTCTGCCAAAAGACATTCTTGGTGATACCACACTACAACCAAAGTTTGCGATCATTTTCACGCCTAGCATGGTGGCTTATACCTTATTTCCTTTAGAGAATGAATCTATATTTTTAGCATTTATTAAAAGTTCTCATTCTTCATGAATGGAACACAAACTTGTGCGCATATTAAATTATGATATTTTTAGTACCTTATTCTATATTTATGTACATTATTCAATCACTTGTACTCTTGCTGACATACTATGCACTACCACCACATTCACTTTAAGTAATGAAGCAAATTCAGTAAATTTCATGAATTCTCATAAAAATCACATTAGTTTTTCTTTAGTCATTATTATATCATCAATATGGTGCATTAAGATTCAAATTCGATGTCTTATTCATATAAAAAAAAGTCTTAGGCTATAAATCGATGGAACTTGAATTCAATATCTTCTCGTCATGGTGCACGAGGACTTTAAATTAATGTCTTACCCTCTTGGTGCGATTGAACGTAAATCCATCGTCTTATTCTTTTGGTGCAATAAATCTCAAAATCTATCATCTTACCACAATGAGGCTCAACTTCAAGCCTTTAAAATAATTATATTTTTACCACTTTTGATGATCATTAATATGATCATACATTATAATTACACACAAAATTGAAATTATTGATTTATTATAATCAATATTATAGTTCATAGATATAACTTAATAGATCACATAACTTATATAAATGTTGAAAACATACCTTTCATTAAACTGCATTCATTTATTTATTAAAATAAATAAATAAATTCTCTTCTCAATCTAATAAAATAAAACGTATAAAATGTCGACAGGCCTCTTTAGATACTTATTCCAGATCCAGATGGTAACTCCAGATCTATCACATAAATAATTATGATATGAAAACCTTATTTTATAACTTATGCAAGATCTCTTTTGCACTTTTTTCGTCTTTAATCATAATTCTTTAAGAATAGATTAATGGTGTTGATAATGTGTTATGAAATAATATAAAACAAAATAAGAATAAAGTAGGGAGAACAGAGAAGACTTCTTATTTATTTTGAAATATATTCAGAATTTTATTGATTTCTTTACAATGAAGGAAAATCTCTTTATTTATACGGAAAACCTAACTTTGTTCTCAAGTAGGATTTCTAACCATTTCCCAAAAGAACTCCACATAATTAGATATTCATTATAATACAAATATGTTTATAACAGTATAATTATAAAACTAGAACTTACATTTTTTATTGGTAAACATAGATTGGTTTTTCGATTTTACTATCGTTTACCGTCTTTTTTATTTTAAAATTAGATGATGTGTCTTTTTAAAATTGAAAATTCATGTGAATGATCAATTTACTGAGATGATAATTATTTATTCTAAACTAATTCAAGTAAGAAAAAGTAAGAAAAAAGCAAACATGACCACAAAATATTTCTTTCTCCCAGCTAATTAGAAAGCCACAAAAATATAGTATTATCTAAAAATCATCTATCTTGACCCAATTAAATAAAATAGAAAATCTCATAATAATTCAAGAGTATAAATGGAAAGAAGCTTCCAGTAAAGTTAAAATCTCAAGACAATATTAAATGGGAATAAAAGTGAATCATTCACTTGATAAAAAATAAACCCGACATTATTAGTCAATGCATTATTAATCTCGATACCAATAATTAACATACCAAGTACAAAAAGTAATATCTAACCTATATATACAATATAATTTTCCAGCAAACCCCATGTCAAACCCCCTATGTAAATGGTGGAAACTGAAGCGAGGCGGCAAAGACACTCACTAAGCTGCTGGCAGCTGAACACTTAAAAGATGGAGGACTGAGGTTCACTTGGAAATGTGTTTCATCAAGTCCAAGAAAGTGAATATGTCATAGGTAGAAAGTAAACAATGTCAGAAAAGCCCTAGTAGCACATTCATCATATCACTAGTTTTCATATCACTAGACCATACCAGCCTACTTTATTTCCCAACTAGCAAGAACACTTAGCAAGATTTCATATGACTGTCCCATCTTTAATGGTTGCATTCTTCATTATGACGGTAATCCCGGACCTAATGTAAAATCCTTCTGCTGACCTATCAGCTTCTTCAACACCCTGCAACAACATCCAAGCATCAGTTAAACTAATATTAACTTTCGTGATGATTTCAAACTTCAAAAAAAAGATACTTGCTTGCTTGTTCAGAATAACCACATCTTTTCCTATCTTTGCGTTCTTGTCAATTATGCATTTCCTTCAAGAAAATACAAAGAAAAGCATGTCAAAGTCCACTCAAGGTAACCTTGTTGAAGTTTGGGCAAAGAACTGTAAACTACACTGAAATGAATAACGATACACTAATCAGAGGACCAGAGCTCAGTTTTTAAGCTGGTCCTTCAAAATGGAAGTCTGAGTGGTCAATTTTCAATCCACAAGTGTGAGAAGTGAGTACGAGTTCAGTAGAAAATCTTACTGTATCTTAGTGTTTGGCCCGACCCCTATTGGAACCTTTCCTTCTGCTAATAGTGAAGCAATCTCGGATTCAGTTTGATAATAATCTGCACCCATCATCATGGTATCCTGATAAATGTAAAGACACATTCAGCCTATAAACAAGTAAGCACTAAATAGCTGTTTATGAACAAAGCACCTGAGTGCTGAGGTTATACTTGTTCATTACTGTAATATGCTAAAGTCCATACCTAGGGTACATGTTACCAGCTTATTGCAGAAATAAATCAAAACGTGTAAATCATCCTTCCTACAACTAGTTTGATTGCACATTCACAGGTAGATGGTAACTGTTATGTGCCTTACAAGTCTGTCATCTAGGTTTCTAAGTTGTCAGAATGCATCAGATGAATGCAGGATGTCGTTTTTAATTTAGTCCAAGCACTAGCTCATAGAACTGTCAACCTAAAAACAGATAAGAAAAGCTTTAAATGAGTATGAAACAATACCTTAAACTCAACACCATAGTCTAAGCGTGATCGTACACCAACTATGGAGTGCTGAATGTTACATTCCCTCAGAAAGCAGCCATGTGAAATTATTGCATCCACTATCTGACAATGAACAGCATTAACATGACAAGTTCATAGCGCCCAGCAATCCTGGAAATTTTTATTACAAGTATTTATGTTAACTTGCATACCCTGCTTTTGTCAACTTTTGTAGGAGGTAAGAACCTAGCAGAAGTGTAGAACGGGGTCTTCGGGTCATTGAAGTCAAACTTTGGAGGCTACATTAAACAGGGATAAAAGAGGAAAAATGCAATTTAGTAACAAGTTATTAATCAATAACTGAAGATGGAGATTATGGTAAATTAAAAAGAAATAGAACTACCAAATTCGCTGACGATTACTTAAAATACTGCTACATATTTCAGAGTCCTTGCATCAACCGTCTAGCTCTTACTTCGAGTAATGGTAGAAGTAGTTAGATGGTAGTAAACATTAAGGTGCTCACCTGCTTTGTGAGGGCCAAGTTGGCATCAAAGAAAGACTTCACTGTTCCAATATCCTCCCAGTAATCATTAAACAAATATGCCTAATAAAATCAATCAGTCAGAATCAAAGAATACAATGAACAGCAAAATTTGTGAACTTCAAAAGGCTAGAAGTTGCAATTGAGAAAGTTACCACCAGCTATTACCTGGACATTGTGATCTTTCACAGCAGAAGGGATAATTTCAGAGCCAAAATCATTGCATGAAGGGTACGCTGACTTGAGAAGTTTTAGTAAAACATCAGTTTTGAATACATAAACACCCATGGATGCAATGTAAGGAAAATTGGACGCCTCTTGCTCAGATAGTCCGAGGATAGATGTGTCAACTTGCTGTAATAGAATATTAAACATACAAAGCAAGTTATGTAGGAGAAGAGACAATAAGAAAGTAAGAGGGGCTGTAAGGGGATAATTTTTTAATAGCTAATCCAGTTTAAAAAGAATTTACAAAGTTCCAGGTGTGGAAGCCCAAATATATGTACCATTGCCTTCAAAGCAGGGCCTTTTGGTTTTTCAGCAAATTGGATGATACGTCCTGTTTCATCTATTTTCATCAATCCAAAATCTGAAGCTCGACTGCCAAAAGAGAGGATGGAAGAGGGTAAGAGACAGAGAGAGAGAAGGGTCTTGATTAACTCCTTGATAGAGCTTAAAAATGTTTGTTAGCCCTAATAGTGCATTCTAAATAGACAACATGACTGAAATCTGGAAGCAGATAACACAAATAGACTTAAGGGAAACTGCAAAGTCTACCTCTGTATGCTTCCAGATCTTTCAGTGGATATTAATCAGTGCTGGTGCTTAGAAGTTAATGAGGATGCAAGATGGGAAAATGTATCTACATTATTACTATGTATCCATGATGATGGTGATTAAATACATACCAGGTCCAGTTAAATAGCTAAACTAAAAAGAATTTCAAGCTTTCTACTGTTCTAATATTCTGTCTTATTCTATTTCCTGATCTGAAAGCCAAAACCATATTGAGAATTCATACAAATCATGATGAAATAGGGCCTTGTACAATTTTATATGTAGATTGATATATCAGATACATAGTGCCACTTCAATTTGCAATATGCCTTCAGATTCTAAACAAATGTGGTCACCATTTGCCACTCTGAACAACACTAAGAAGAACCTTTCAAAGAGTTCAGGGAGATAGAAAGCAATGCAAATATTGTTTGGCTTCACATTAAATAAGCTATCAAGTTAAATGAAAGATCAATCTCATACCCATCGTCCATTGGAACACATGAAACTGTAATATCAGCATTTGCGTCAATATGCTTCTGCAAGAACAAATATTATTCATTAAGCAAAGTATATGAACACAGGGTTGGTGTAGGAAGCAATTGTTGTCATAAGTTGCTCATATACCTGAACAAAGTCCATGTAGTTCATTCGGTAAAGATGGTCACCAGACAAAATTATTATGTGCTCGACATTCTTGTTCTTCTGATTCTATGTCATTATTTAAAAAATAATAAGGTCAGCGCTTTTCCTAGGGAGCTTTATCAATGACCGGTCTTATTTGTGTACCTCAAATACCCATATGAATTGCCGCACAGCATCAGCAGTGCCTTGGAACCACATTTTTCCTGCATCCCCTGGAGTCTGGGTTGCAGCTAAAACCTGCATTTGAGAAAATCTTTTTTATCTGTCAAGGACACATTTCAGTTATCTTCCCCATTTTAGGTTTGTAGATCTACCTCCCCCAGGATCCAAAGGAGCAAGAGGAGATATGATTTCTTACAAAGATATGATTGAACTTCAATGTCAAAATATAAGTAGCTTAAAAGAGCTCAAACTAAAAACTTTAAGTAACCAAAATGATCTTACCTCCACAAATCCATCTCCAAAACCCACTCCATTTCCAAAATTATACGTGCGGGCAAGGTGACGATTGAGGGAAAAGGAATTGAACTGTGTTAAGATGAAAATTTTCCGTATGCCACTGTTAATGCAGTTACTCATTGGTACATCAATTAGCCGGTAACAACCACCAATAGGAACCTGAAGAACAAAGCCGATAGTCACAGAATTTGAATGAAAACTGATAGAGAATGCATTCTTAAGCTTAGTTGCATTGAGAACAGAGAAGGGAATCCACACTTAGCTTAACTAGTCATTTCTTTAGTTGTCAAAAATCCAATTGAAATGGATTTAAGAACCACTACAATTTTTTAAGACTGAAGTTGGTATGAATTGGACATGTTGTCAAACTCAAAAGACACATAATGGAGTAACAACCACGATTCAAGCAAAAAGAGAGATATATAATATATATATGTGTGTGTTGTAACTCTTACAGCTGGTTTAGCTCTTCTGCTTGTAAGAGGAAAAAGACGAGTTCCAACACCACCACCTAGAATGACAGAGGCAACAGCTTTTGGATCTGCCGTTGGTTGTTCCTCAAACATTGAATTTTCAAATGGCTGAAAAACAACATGAATAATACAAATTAATCTTGTTCTTGATCATTCACTTTACTTTATCACCTAATTCCTCTACTTACCAGCATCTCTTTGTTTATATCACGGGTGAGAACAGCAGAGGTAACATTTTTACCCCTTTGTTGAGTTGTAAAGCTCTTGCACCACCGGACCCCAAAACCCTTGTTTATCAATCTTCTTCCACTAATCTTCTGTCCCCAAAATGTGCTCTCTTGGTTGCAAATTGCCACTGATTGTGCAGTGCCCGCACACAACGCATCCATTGCTCTATCAATTATTCACGTCAACCACAACATAAGCAAGTACATTCATTCTAAAAAACAAAAACAAAAAGCAAAAGATTTCACTTTACACAGGAAGTGCAAAAAACATTTTATTTTACACGGTATCAGATTCCTGTACTAAAATATCAATTCATAGATTCCAATAGAATAATCACAAAACACAACTTGCAACCCCAAAATATCAATATATTGATTCCAAAGGAACAAACCAAATCAAATAACTTACATTACCCAAAACCCTTTTTATTAAACTAGATCAAAAAACAATCAAATCATACAACTTTTGCAGAATCTATACAAAATACAACTATCATTTTTCTATCTATCTATCTATCTATCTATATATATATATATAAACAGCTTTCTCAGTACCTGAATTAAGCTTTTTCAAACACCCAACTTTTCCTCAAAAAGTATTTGGTATAAACAAAATTATTACTAGGTTACAGTGCGTTCATAACACAACACAGTGGCGTTGTAAAGTCTGTGGACTCTCTTGAGATTTCTGTGTTGTTGTAAAGTCTGTGGACTCTCTTGAGATTTACAGAGTCCATCATATTAACGTGAATCAAATATTTAACACACTCCACGTGTTACTTAAAAGTAGGAGAAACAAAATAAAAATAACAGCAAATATTAAATATTTGTGCACTATTCTTTTTGTTGAATCACCACAAATAATGCCGTTCGATTAGGTGAGATAAACTTTTTATTTGGATATGGAATTTTAATTTTTAAGTTGTGAGTAATTATATCATATGAACATTTAATTATTATTTTTGAATTTTTCCTTAATTAATAATATAAAATGATAGATTATTTCTTTTATAAAATATAAGTTGGTGGGTCAATAGTTATATTAAAAAATATGAGATGATTATATTAATTCGCACCTCATCTAATACTATCTATTAGACACTCTATATTTAATGAATATGTATTTATATTTGAACTATATTTCGAGCACGCGCTTTGCGCGTGTAATCCATGACTGTATTATTTCTTAAAAGATAATATTATTAAATAATAAAATATTTCTAATTGAGATTTCTTACATTGTTTAACTACTAATTGTGACACTCTAATTTTCTAACCTCCAAGTGAATGCATCGAGATAATAATATGAAAAATTAATAAAATAAACTTCGTTTATAATTCAAAAAATAAGTTTGCAAAGCAAAAAGAAAAAATAACAATTATCTAAATTAAATTTCTCGATAGTTCCTTTTTATTGATAGAATAATGTTAGAAGAAATAGTGTAAGATTAACTTTGAGTGAAAGGAAAACAAAACCTTTCAACTTTTTTACTTTGCCTTTTGAATTTCGTGATAATTATAATGAATGTGTTTAAAATATTGTATTAAATTTTTATCCACAAACACTTTAAACTAATTAGTTAACTATAAATTTATAACTATTATGTAAAAAGTCTTATTATTTATATTTTGAAAATCTAAATATTTATGAATAATTACTATTTTTATATAAAATTTAATTTTCTCTTCATACATAACTTATCCACCATTAATCTAATATTATATGTTTCACCTTTTTTTTTCCATAAAAAGAAAAGAAAAGAGTAAACATCCTATTTTATCACATTCATTCTTAAAGATCAAAATTAATGTATATGTAAAATTATAAGTACGAAGCAAAAAAAAAAAAAGAGGTACAGATGAACAAGATAATTAGGCATTTCAGTTTATTTTGTCTCTATAGTGAAACTGAACATTTGAGTTACAAAATACAAATATGAATTTAGAGAAACTTGCTAATAAAACAAGAATTCAACTATATGAAGAGAGACAAAAAAGTCTTATTGTAATTCTTACTACAAATAAGTATAGAACTAACACATCAAGCTCCGATGCTTCAGTAATTGAATTCTTGTCTATTCTCGTGACTGCAGAAGGGAATCTCACAACTTTCACCTCAAACTGTGACATTATTTCACATGTTTAGAGTTCCTACACACAAGAATTGTAGGAGTTGTAAATAAAAGTTTTCTTGAAAAAGTTAAATTTATAGAACAAAATTATGAAAACATGAAAAGTCACATGAATTATTGTTAAAATAAATATAAAAAAGATAGAGATGAAATTTAATTTTAAAGATACATGAATCTACTTTTATTTCTTGTCTATAAGGAATAATTACTCATTTTTATTTTTATTTACATTTGTGTTAGAAATTTGAAAGGTCAAGATAATTGAAAGTTCCTATTTTATAGTTAAATTGGTCCATGTGGCACATATCATTGTTTGTGATTTTACAAGAAAAAGTCACAGACAATACTTTTAAAACTTGCAGTCATTATATCATATATTATTATAAGTGAGAAGCTCAAAACTTAAAAGTTGAATTATCATTTTTCCCCTCTTAAAGTACTATACTTGGTAGGGATAGAGCTCCAAACATGACAAATCATTAGAAAACCTCTAGATCTAGAAACTTTGGAAGAAGTGGAGTTTGAACAATATATTATGACTCATCTACAATATTAAGAAGGCATATGTATCTATCGGTCAAAACATGCTGGTAAGAATGCAATGCTCCCAGGAAATGAAACATCAGTACGAAACAATGTATAAAGTGTAATGACCCAGAAGGTCATTCTTAAAATTTTTCGTAAAATACCATTTTACTCCTTTCGATGGTTGGGCCTAGTCATTTTTATATAGTTGGTGAAGTTGGTTTGGAAATTTTGAACTCTTCGTGTAACTACGGTGATTTAGTTAATAGGTATTCTTTTAAATAATTATTTTAATTGGTGATTAATGGTTCAAGTCCATAATTTATCTAGTACCTTGCCCACTTGACTCATATATTATAAATAAGGATAATAGTCTAAAAAATACCCCAACTTTGGTAGAATTTTTACTGTTGTGATACTAAATTTTCATGAGAACCTATTACCTCAATGAACTATTTGATAGTGTAATGTTTACCCCTGAACTATTTTAATAGTGTATTTGAAAGGAATATAGGTGCCCACATGGACACATGACTATTTATATTTCTGTATTATTTTTATTGTCCACGTGGAAAATATATATGTTTCAAATACGACATTAAATAATCTAGAGGGGTAATAGATCCTCATGAAAATCTAGTATCGCAACAATAGATTCGATCAAAGTTGGGGTATTTTTCAGACCATCATCCCTTAAAGAAAGTTAGTGGAGTTTAAAGTTTGTTTTAGTATAACTTGAAAAACTAAAAGGAAAACAAAATCACTGGTGCAAAGCAGCGACCGACGTGGGAATCACAAAAATCCATATTTAGGTAAAGATTAACTAGTCCTTAATATGTTATGGTTAGATTTTGAATGACATAGAAAATGTATTGTTTTTATATTAACTGGGTTGGAAAACACAGTGAGAATTTTTTAATGGTGTGTCACGTTTTGAGGGTTGCGACAGATACATAAAATAGGAAAAAAAGAATTTCAGGTAATGTGAAGTTTAATATGCTTTTTTCTTTTAAATTATTATTTCTAATTCAATCAATCAAGTAATAGAAAAGTTGTTTGATAATAAATGGTAGTCATTAGTGGATTTAATTTATTAAAATAATGAAATACATTTTATTGAAATGTTATACCATTCTATTTTACGGGATGTGTTGGAGGCTACTGTTTGGTTAATACTTCATATTGGAGGTAACAGTATTCCAATGATTTATGGTGTAAATTGAGGGTCAAAACACAATTGTCTGTTGAGATAAAATTGTGTTGCAATTATTTTATATAAAATTATATTATGTTTCAAGTATTGATATATTAATATTTGTAATAAAACAATTGTGTATTGTATTATGCGAAGATCATTAAATTTATGTATTGAAAATTATTGAGACTAAACCCTATGTTCGAAATTAGGTAAATTTGAGAGTTGACTTATTAGCAAGAAAAGGAGATTGATTATAAATTTGGGTGAGCTTTTGGGTCTAAACTAAACATATAGTGGTATGGGTGTTGCTAATTTTGAAATCTTATGTGAATATGTACTTGAGAAGATTACATCGATTTGGAAGCTTTATGAAAGGGGAAGGCTCAAGTCCCGGAGTGATTGTTCGATGATTTGAGGCAAGCGAATTTTTAAACCCTCGTTAAGTGTATGAAGTTTATGTATTTCCTTCCTATATGTGTTCGGGAGTAATGAGAATTATTGATGGGTTGACTTGTACATGTTGAATAATTCTAATGATGAAAAAAGAGTAATAAAAAGGTAAATGTGATAAATTATTGGTGTGTGATGTTTGAGAATGATTTGAAGACTTATTGCTTATTTGTTGATATTGTATCACAGTTGCATTGTTGTGAATTGTTCCCTGTTAAGAAAATGGTCAATTTATCATTATTTGTGTGAACATGTCATTTTCATTGGTTTCTGAGGCATGGTTATGATAAGCGTTATGTGATAAGAGGATGTACCATTTCGAGATACGTATCGCGCGCCGTAATGGATACTATATTTCAAGGAACATATCACTCACAACAATGAATTGTATATTTTAAAGGACACATAACGCGCCGCGGTGGATGCATGGACATATATTTCCACCATGGGCCATAGACTGAGAGACAAAAAGTGTGTATCATTAGGTCATCCATGCATCACTATACTTGACATTGCATTCCATTGCATTGAACATATTTATCATTAGTAAACGTGATATTGTGTTTTGGTGACCTTGTGAATGCCAATCTATGGAACTTTGATCGATGAATATTGAGTTTATTGTTAACAATGTGTGTTTGTTAGAACATTGTTGTTGATATATGTGTTTGTGAATTATGAATTGTAAGGTTGGGTTGGTCTTAAGTAAGTTGTAGTTGTGAAGGTTTGATAGGTGTGTAAGGAGTATCTGTATTCTATTCCCTTATCTTGTGTGTAGAAGTTTACATTCTAAGTACCACGTCTTTTGGTACTTACCTCTTGCTTCTACATATTTTTAGGTTACTAGCACAGACCTTTGTGATATTTTCTCTTCTCCTTGTCTGAGGCTTTTTATGGAGGTTTGGGAGGTAACTTTTTGTTATTTTAGCGACCTTTCTTACTCCCATATATGAGCTTGTTCTATTATGAAACAAGTTAATTTGAGACTTATGTTTTTCTTTTGGAACCAATTGTAATTCTTTAGAGGTTTGTACACGTGATAACAAGATTTTTTGGGTATTCCTTGAGTTGGTTATAAACTTCTGCATTTTATTGTAATTGTTGAGTTTTAGGTTAACTTGTCTTGGGGGGATAAGACGAGTGCCATCACATCCATTTTTTGATCGTGACAAAATAATATCAGAATCCCAGGTTCATAGGTCTCACGTGTTTACAAGTCGGGTTTAAGTAGAGTATTGGGATATATACGACGATGTTTATACTTATATTTGAGAGGCTATAATGACTTTTAGGAAACATCTTTATTTATTGAATTTCTATCATGCGTCCTCAGTCCAGTTTAATTCTTATTGGTTTATTCCATTCAATCTACTCGTGTGTAGTTCCTCATGTGAGTAGTTGGTGTGTCGTGCATGACTTGAATGTTACACCTAGTTTTAAAGTGGAAGTGATAAACTTATGAAAATGATGTGTGGATAGATTAAGA